GGGATAGGGAAGAAAACGCCCAGCCTGGCCAGCTCTTGTGCCTTTGGAAGGAGACCAGAGGACAGAAAACCAGCACGTGATGCTCTTTCTTTTTTAAAGTCCTGATTAGATCAGTGGACATTGACGTGGCAGTGACGGCGCGTGCAATTAAAAATGAATATGTTGTCTTCCCTATCCCCTACAAACACTGTTAGTCCCTTGTCTATATTGAGTAACTGTACATCGCTTTGAGCCCACTGGGGAAAGCGAGTAATAAATGGAAAGTATTATTATTATCATCATCATCATCATCCCACAAAATTTAAGTTCATCAACAAAACGTTTACAATACATCAGGTATGACTCCGCCTTGAACCACAAAGAAAGGACCGTTTTAATAAATAATAAACCCTGTGGATGGAGTTACATTTCAGAGCTCTTTGCCCGAGCACAGGTTGGGCTGAGAAGTTGGCAACCCCAGGGCTGGGTCTCTTGCCCGGCAGACAGGTAGGATCATGGGATAAGGCCACGGGGAGAGACGTCCACCACACACATCACAAAGCAAGGCTCCCTCTAAGCTGTGGAGAGTCTTGTGAGCAAAAAATTCTGCTTTGTGAGCGACTACTGGCATTAAAGCTGTGAGCCAGCGATTTGGCTGCTGCATGAATCAGTTTGGCTCTGGAGCCCTCCTTCCTGAGCAAATACAAAAATGTGTGAGCCTCAGGAAGGAGGGCTCCAGAGCAAACTGATTCATGCAGCAGCCAAATTGTTGGCTCACGCTAAGTCAGCTGAGAGGGAACACTGCCACAAAGCAGCAAGATTGGCCCTCTGAAATCTCCCTCTGCCGGGAGGTCGGTGCGGCCGCACAACGGAGGCCAGTTTGGTCAAACAAGGCGCAACAGAGAGAGGCTTATTTTGCACCCCAAGAGCTCCCTTATCCAGCGCAAGTGGGCCAGGATTTGGCTGAGGCTTGCTGCCTCCGGGACCGGGTCGGAAGTTGGCTGCAATTCTCAGGGACGGAGGCAGGGGAGAGCTTACCTTGTGCTTCAGCAGAACAATCAGCTGGGAGCGCAGGATCAGCCCTCGCAGTCCCAAGCTCTGAAACAGAGAGGTTTTCACCTGGCAGGAGTGCCTCCCCCCTGGGCCCAGCTGCCAGAAGGCCTCAGAAACGCCAGCACCGAAGGGGGAGGTCCAGGGGGCGATGCGGTGCCACACCCCCGGGACAGAAAGTGGGAGGGAGCGGCAGAATCCAGCCCTCTCTTCTGTGGTTAAGCAAGCATCTAGCCCCCAGAGGTCTAAAGAGATTGTCTGAGAGAGCCCGGTCAAGTCTCAAAGAACCGTATGAGATTTGTGGGAGACAACAGGTACAGGGGTTAGAGTGTCAGACAAGCAGACATGTCTGGGGCAGTGACACTCTGTCTTCTTGGTGCTTCGGGTGGGGCAACAATGGGAGGGTTTTTGCAGTTCTAGCCCTGCTGGTGGACCTCCTGAGGGCCCCTGGGTTTTGGCCACTGTGTGACACAGAGTGCTGGACTGGAGGGGCTACTGGCCTGATCCAACATTGGCTTCTCTTATGTCCTTATGTCTGATGCAATGATGCTCTGTATTCTTGGTGCTTGGGGGGGGGGGGCAACAGTGGGAGGGCTTCTAATGTCCTGCCCCCACTGATGAACCTCTTGGTGGCACCTGGTATTTATGGCCACTGTGTGACACAGAGTGTGGAACTGGATGGGCCATTGGCCTGATCCAACATGGCTTCTCTTACGTTCTTATGTGTGGGGCAGTGATGCTCGGTATTCTTTTCTCTTTTGCTATTTTTACATATGTCTGTGTGCGCACATGGTATGGAAGTCATGCTGACTCCTACTGGAGGCCGTTCAGAGAAATGGCTTGAGGGCCTCTGCCTCTGGCCTCCCGGCCCTGGTATCCTCCGGAGGTCTCCCATCCAAATACTCGCTTAGCTTCCGAGATCTGACGAGAGCGGCCTCGCCTGGGCTATCCTCCTCTTCCCAAAGCACAGCTTCTGTTAGTCTCGTTTTAATCTAGCACACAGCTTCTTTCCATCTAGTTAAGAGAATCCACGGAGCCCGGGAGGCAGTGCGAGATAAGAAGGCCCCAGTTCAAATTCTGCCTCGATAACTGGGCTCCAGCCAACTATGGCTCCTCCCTCCCCGTCCCTGTAACAACCCTATTGTTTTTAAAAAGATCCTCCTAAGGTCTACAGCTGCATCAAATCCATCCCTGAGCTGCGGCCGTTATGCCTTTCCCAGCTCGTACTGGAAGAACTCTCTGCGGTTTCCTGCCTCCGTCTTCATCAGGATGGTGGTTTATAAGATTATGCATGGGAAAGAGCAGGTAGAGAAAGAGGTACTTTACTCCCTTTCTCACAATACAAGAACTCCTGGTGGGCACTCCATGAAACTGCAAAGCGGTCGGGTTAGAACGGATAAAAGGAAGTACTTCTTCACCCAAAGAGTGATTAACACATGGGATTCACTGCCACAGGAAGTGGTGGCGGCTACAAGCATGGACAGCTTCAAAAGGGAACTGGAGAAGCCTATGGAGCAGAGGTCCATCAGTGGCTCTTAGCCACAAGGTATAGATAGGGGCTCTGGGGCAAGTGATGCTGTGTATTCTTGGTGCTTGGGGGGGGGGTCAACAGTGGGAGGGCTCCTAGTGTCCTGGCCCCACTGGTGGACCTCCTGATGGCACCTGGTATTTCTGGCCACTGTGTGACACAGAGTGTTGGACTGGATGGGCCTTTGGCCTGATCCAACATTGGCGTCTCTTATGTTCTTATGGTCTCCATCTCTGGGTTATTTCCCCCACCACCCGTGCTTTCTACCTCCACTCCGTGCCCAACAATGAATGCTCCCAGGTTTTATTCGCCATCCGCTAAAACCGGTCTTCGACTGACCCGCCTTACAGGGTTGGGGTTGAGAAGCTCTTTGGGCAGGGAGAAAGCACAATTGTTGAGTGGGATGGACCTGTGGGGCCCCACCCGAGGGGCGGGGAAGTGCGATGAACCCCAAAGGGCCTTCTGGCTCACGTGGGACCAGGCCGACTGGGCGGGGCCCAACGGCAGACTCCCTCTCCCTGCAGGGAGGGCCAAGCCTCACCCACCTGTGAGCCATTGGAGACGCTCTCCACCACCGGGAACCCGTTGTGGTTGGAACTGCTACTGCTGAGGATGTCCACGACGGTGCCCACCTTCTCCACCTGGCGCAGACACGTGACCGGGGTGCTCATCACCTCTCTGGGGAAGGGGGAAGACGAAGAGATTGCATTTCTACCCCATGGCCCTTCACTACCCAAAGGAGTCTCAGAGAGGCTTACAATTCTCCTTTCCCTCCCCCTCCCCGCAACAGACACCCTGGGAGGCAGGTGGGGCTGAGAGAGCTCTCTCTCGAGGACAGCTCTTGAGAGAACTTGTGACTGGCCCTAGGTCACACCAACAGCTGCATGCGGAGGAATCGGGAATTTACCCTGGTTCTCCCAGATTAGAGTCCGCGCTCCTAACCACTGGGAGGGGAAAGACATCCCAGGTCAGAAAGAGGTGGTTTTGCACAAAGATCCAGGGGGGGTTGAACAAAGAAGAAGAGATTGGATTTATACCCCCACCCTTCACTACCCAGAGGAGTCTCAGAGCGGCTGACAAACTCCTTTCCCTTCCCCTCCCCACAACAGGCAGGTGGGGCTGAGAGAGCTCTTGACAGGAACTGCTCTTTTTCAAGGACAGCTCTTGTCAGAACTACGGCTTGCCCAAGGTCATCCAGCAGGTGCAAGCGGAGGAGGAGTGGGGAATCAAACCCGGTTCTCCCAGATTAGAGTCCGCGCTCTTAACCACCGCACCAAACGGGCACAAGGAAGAACCCATTAATTCCCCCTCACTGCAAAATAGGGATGGGCCTCAAGCAACAGACGGCACTGTGGGAAAAGCGGGCTCTTCCACAGAGAGGTCTTGCCACCGACATCTGAACCAATCTCTCAGAGGAATGGGTCACAGGAGGTTCTCTCCTTTGCCCCCGGCGCTGTTCATTTAGCCTGCTGGTTCCGGGGAGGCCGGGCCTATGGCTTACCTGGCGGTGAGCGAGTGCGAGGTTACGGGGGCTTCCCAGTGTAGGAAGGGGACGCTCTGCAGTTGGATGTGCATGTCGTACAGGCCCTGGGGGGGGGGGAGAAGGAAGGGGAAAGGGAAACCATCTCAGGGGGGAGCAGGGAGACAAGGCAGGAGTCCCAAGCTCATCGCAGCCACAAACGCATTACCGGAAGGGGGGGGCAAAGGGGCTTACAAGCGCAGCCCCAATTGGTGGGGCAAACCGGGCCAGCCAGCTTCAAGGAACAGTGAAACACACGCACAGCAGACGTGTTCGCAAGTCTTGAAGACCGGTCTTGAAACATGACAACTGGCTGTGTGCGCATCTCCCACAAATCGCCCCGTGAAACGGCAGAAAAGGAGAGAACTAAGGAGCGTGGATTTGGTTTTAAGATAATGCAGGTTTCTAGGCCTTATTGTTCCAAATCTCAGAAGCCAGGGGAGTCTGAGCAAGATGTTCCAACAGCCACACTCCTCCCCACCCAGCGCTCTAGAATCACACACGGCCCCAGAATTCTATCAATTTTTCTCTCTTGAGACAGTCAATGGAATCCCCTCGGCGCCAATTTGGACAGTCATAGAACCACAGAGTTGGAAGGGATCTCCGGGGTCATCTAGTCCAACCCCCTGCACAAGGCAGGAAGCTCACAAATACCTTCCCCCCCCCACACACACACACCCAGTGAGCCCCTGCTCCATGCCCAGAAGATGGCCAAAGAAAACCTCCAGGGTCCCCGGCCAAACTGGCCTGGAGAGCAATGGCTTCCTGACCCCAACGTGGCGATCGGCATTTCCCCGGGCGTGTCAGGAAGGGCCACGAGAACTGAGCCCCGAGGCTGCAGCCCTTCCTGCCCTCCCTTCTCATGATCTGCCCAAGTTCACAGAATCAGCACTCTGCTCCGATGGGGCCATCCAGCCTCTGTTTGAAAACCTCCAGAGGAGGAGAGCCCCCCACCTCCTCCCGAGGAAGCCGGTTCCACTGAGGAAACGCTCTGACTGTCGGGAAGTTCTTCCTAAATGTTCAGCCGAAAGCTCTCCTGATTTAATTTCAACCCTGTTGGTTCTGGTCGGACCTTCTGGGGCCACAGAAAACAACTCCGCACCCTCCTCTACAGGACAGCCCTAAACATGCCCAGCTCCTTCAGCAAGGACCAGGGCACAATTCAATGAGAACTCTGAGAACTTTGAAATGGGATGACTGGGGGTGCTGTTCCTGGACAGTTAAATCTAAGAGTTCAAGGAAAAGTATTATAAATGTCTGACTCCGTTTATAATAATCTAAACAAAATGAAGGTTTGTTGTAACAAAGCTACTGAGGATCTCCTCTCTTGGGTTTTTAGTTAGTCGTGGGCTCTTTGCTTTATCCTATATATGTAGTCCCCCCTTCCCTTTTTTCTGTAGTCGTTTTTGTAGTCTTATAAAAAATAATAAAAAAATCCCCTTCCGGGGGCTCAAAAAAAGAAAAGAAAACAAGAAAAAAAGGAGCAGGGAATGCCTCGGAGCCCTCTTGAGCCCTCAGCCGGCCCACCCTTCCTTGGGGGGCGGGGCTAGCCCCTCCCTACCTCGACGAAATAATCCCCCACGATCTTGGCCGTCATCAGCACCAGCATGATGGGGAAGCCGTAGGTGACGTTGCCCGTCGCCTCCATCATGATGACCGTCAGGCTCAGGGTCATGCGCACGATCCCACCTGGGGAGACAGGCACCGCTTTCTAGCCCAGCCTATTCCAGCACTCATGCCAGCAGCCCTTGGAAACTCAGCCCCGGCTGCCTTTCCCCGTGAAGCCCGGGCTCCCAGAACCGCCAGCAGAGGAAATAAAAGAACGTGTGCTTGTCTGCGTGTCCGGCAGCCGTCGGAGGGCTCGCCCTCTTGTTACGCTCAGCGTCCAGTCGACAAGTCCAGATTTGCCCGCTGAGAATCCTGAAGGTGCCCCAGAGACAGGCGGAGGAAGCCGGAGGGGGTGCCGGGCAAACTTCGGGGGGGGGGGGCTGCCCCCACGCGCTCGTCTTTGCTCTCCTTTCGGCAGCCAGTGGTCGTTCCCGGCGCAAACTGCCTGGTCTTCCAAGACCCCCCCCCTCCCTGCACGCCCCCATGTTACCCCTCCCAAGGCAACACTCACCCAGCTGTGCGGCAGCCCCCATCAAAGCGTATTTCCCTGGGTCAGCCCAGATCTAAAAGTCCAGCACACAAGAGAGAAGAAGAGGAAGAAGAGATTGGACTTATACCCCATGGCCCTTCACTACCCAGAGGAGTCTCAGAGCGGCTCACAAACTCCTTTCCCTTCCCCTCCCCACAACAGACACACCCTGTGAGGTAGGTGGGGCTGAGAGAGCTCTGGACAGAAACGGCTCTTTCTCAAGAAGAAGAAGAGGAGGAGGAGGAGGAGGAGGAGGAGATTGGATTTGTACCCCATGGCCCTTCACTACCCAAAGGTGTCTCAGAGCGGCTCACAAACTCCTTTCCCTTCCCCTCCCCACAACAGACACCCCCTGTGGGGCAGGTGGGGCAGAGAGAGCTCTTGATAGAAACGGCTCTTTCTCAAGAACAGCTGTGCCAGAACAAGGGCTTGCACAAGGTCATCTAGCAGCTGCAAGTGGAGGAGTGGGGAATCAAACCCGGTTCTCCCAGATGAGAGTCAGGGCACTTCACCACGACACCAAACTGGCTCTCAAGAGGGGCACAGGGGCAGTCAACAGCTAAAAGGGCACCGGGGGGAGATACCATCCCCCCCCCACTTCAAAAGGATCCTTTTTCCAGAACACCAGTTGATGAGCCACGTGGAGAAGCCAACGTTGGGTGGGTTGGCTCCCTGTCTCCAGCTAGGCAGAGGCCCACCCCCTCGGTTCCCCCAACCCAAGTGAACCATCACTCTTCGCCTGCTCCCCCCCTCCCGCCGAGATGGTTCCTCGCGCCATCCCCAATGGGGGATCCAACCCCACCGAGAAGCACCTACCCATCCGCTGGTGATGTAGGACAGGGAGATGCCGAAGAGGCGGCCCCAGGCAGCCCCGATCAGCAGGGAGGGGATGAAGACCCCCGCGGAGACGGTCAGCCCGTAGGTCCAGCAAGCCAGGAAGAAGTACACCAAGGTGAACATGCCCAAGGTCATGGGGTTGTAGGTCCCTGGCAAGGGGGGGAAGGGGAGAGAAAGAGCGTCAACGTCCCACGGCCCCTGATCAGCTACAAAGGTCTCTTTCTTCCACCCTTCCCAAGGCACCCACGCTTGGGACCCGCGTCCACGAGGCTCAGGAGCAGAAAAATCCACATTAATGTAACCTATAGAAAAGCCATGCTGAAGGTTTTTTGTTGTTGTTTTATTTTTTTAAACTGGGCCACCTCCCATTGGCGAAAGAGCACGTAAGGGTTGGGAGTGGCACAGAACCTTCTCACAGAAAGAATTAAAATGGCAACGAATCACTAAGCAGAGAAGAAGAGGAGATTGGATTTATACCCCATGGCCCTTCACTACCCAAAGGAGTCTCAGAGCGGCTTGCAAACTCCTTTTCCTTCCCCTCCCCACAACAGACACCCTGTGAGGTAGGTGGGGCTTAGAGAGCTCTTTCAAGAACTGCCCTTGAGAAAACAGCTCTGAGAGAACTTGTGACTGACCCAAGGTCACCCAGCTGGCTGCATCTGGAGGAGTAGAAGTGGAAGAAGAAGAGATTGGATTTATACCCCATGGCCCTTCACTACCCAAAGGAGTCTCAGAGCGGCTTACAAACTCCTTTCCCTTCCCCTCCCCACAACAGACACCCTGTGAGGTCGGAGGGGCTGAGAGAGCTCTTGACAGAAACGGCTCTTTTTTTCAAGAACAGCTCTTATCAGAACTACGGCTTGCCCAAGGTCATCTAGCCAGGGGCAAGTGGAGGAGTGGGGAATCAAACCCGGTTCTCCCAGATTAGAGTCCGTGCACTTCACCACGACACCAAACTGGCTCTTTTTCACGGACAGCTCTAGTCAGAACTACGGCTTGCCCAAGGTCATCTAGCCAGGGGCAAGTGGAGGAGTGGGGAATCAAACCCGGTTCTCCCAGATTAGAGTCCGCATACTTAACCGCAACACCAAACTGGCTCCTATACCAAAGAGGCTGAAAGACAGCCAAGAAAGGTTCTCTGTCTCAGAAATTTATCACCCGTGAGTGAACGCGCCTTCCGGCTAATGCTCTCTCTGTCGGTTGGGTTCAGCAAGCCGCCAGCAGAAGGCGCCGAGGGTTCCAGTTCGTTCCCATGTTTCCCCTCTCCAACCCTGGCAAAGTCCATTCCTGGGCTTGTGGGGACAGGAACCCAAATCTCCAAACCCCCCCTGCCCACACAGTTCCTCCCCCCAGAAGGAATTCACTAGCCGGGAAGTAGCCCCCCCCCCCCCCCAGCCTGCCTTTTCTCGTTAAAACCTCACGGCCTGGGAAACACATCCCAGAGTGGACCCGGGGGCGTTATGAAAGAGGCTCACATTCCGAGGCTCTTCGCGGGAGCATCAGGAAACGCCCTTAAGGAAAGAGCAGCCAAGGACGTCTGCAGCCCACAGAAGGATGGGAGGGGGCAGGAATGTCCATTTAGGGACAGCGTTGGCAGAGGGAGACACGGTCACCGTGGCCAAAGCATTTCCTTGGCGCTTCTAAGCAAAAGGAAGAG